TTTTAGCAGCATCTTTAAAACTAACTGATTTATTTTAGCATGTGCTTTCATGGATCTGAGTTCACTTCTTTAGACATACCAATGGAGTTGCATTGCATCTTTCTGTGTCTTCTTATGTTCTGATCCCACCTCCACAACTGCTAATATAATTCTGGTTTGATATTCATTCCATTTGTGCATCTGAAGAAGTGTATTGAAATCCACAAAATCTCATGCTAAAATAAGTCAATCTTAAAAGTACAACTGTAATCCCGCTTCCCTCCCACCCTCTTGTCCTTGTTATTGCAGTTGTGTGTATTCAAGTTGTTTCTGACGTATGGTGACCCTAAGGTGAACCTATCACTCATTTTTCTTGCCAAGATTTATTCAGAGGAGGTTTGCCTTTGCCATCCTCTGAGTCTGAGAGAATATGACTTGCCCAAATTCACACAGATGGTTTCCATGGCTGAGCAGGGATTCGATCCTTGGTCACTCAATGTTCTAGTCCAATACTCAAATCACCACACTACGCTGGCTCCCTCTTCTTTTCTACTCCCTGCCTGGTAATAGAAATTTCCTTGGGAAAATGAATCAAATTTTTCTCTGTGTACAGTTCATTTGGTTTTGCAATTTACAGATGATGTTTTGGAGGCTGAGGAAGATGACATAAGCACTTCCCTTTTTGACACTGTTGTTTGTTTCCAGCAAAATCCACTCCCCTCTCAACTTCCCAGCTCTGTACTTATTTCTCTGCTCACAGAGAAGAACAAAATGTAGTTACACGTTGAGACAGTGGAAAGAGTTCACACCAGTATTACTGCCATCTGAAGGGGGTTAGGTTAATGATTAATGATTATTCATTCAGCAGAGTGCAAATCTGTCAGTTTCACTATCTGAAACATTTATTTATTTTTTAAAAAAGATATTTCTTTTTCATGTTTTGAATATTTCTATTCTTTCTTCTTTTTTAAAGAAATTGAAATAATGGTCTAAATCAAATTGAGCCAAATCCAATAGGTATAGCAATTCCCAATACGGTGAAGGTCATGTTATAGGTACCTGCAGTCTTATTGGCATTAAAGTTAATGGTAAATTTGGTGACTTCTTCAAAAGTCTGGGATAGGGGACAGAAAAAATAGGTAGCAATCCTGATTCAACACAATACAGGCCAGCATTGTGCCAGTACTGCTGCTGTTCTTGTTGTTGTTGTTGTGGCTTCAAGTCATTTCCAACTTATGGCAAAGTTAATCCATCATAGGATTTGTTCAAAGGGCAGTTTGCCAATGCCTTCCTCTGAGGATGAGAGAATGTGACTTGCCCAAGGTTACCAAGTGGATTTCCATGGCTGAGCAGGGATTTGAACCCAGTCTCTTAAAGTCCCAGTCCAGCATTCAAACCACTATACCACATAGACTGCTTATACCAGGGGGACTTCAGCTCCCAGAAGCCTCAGCCATGTTGGCCAATAGTCCCATGTTGGCCAATAGCTCCTGGGATTCTGGGAGCTGAAGTCCCTCGGCCCTTAAAGGGGAAAGGTTGCCTACCCCTAGCTTATACACTAGAAACTCCCAAGCTTCACAATTCAAAGCAGGTTTCATAATACAAACTTCATGAGTTTCCTTTATCTGGAATTCCAAAACCCAAAATATTCCAAAAAGGAAAAAAAACTTTTTTCTTGGGTGGCTGAGTGAGTGATAGCTTTGCTTTCTGATGGTTCAAAGTACACAAACTGTTTCAGGCACAAAATTATATATATATATATATATATATATATATATATATATATATATATAATTGTCTTTTGGCTATATATCTACAATATGTATATGAAACATAAATGAATATTGTGTTTAGAACAAGATGGCTTGTTAGGTATATATATGCAAATGCAGGTATTCTTAAATCCAAAATAGATGAATAAATAAATAAATCCAAAATACAAAACACTTCTGGTCCCAAACATTACAGATAAGGGAGACTCAACCTTTGCAAATTTTGTTACAATTATGTAACTTCAAGTTAAGACACATAATCCTAGTCCTTGTTTGACACTTAAACCTCTACACCCCACTGGCTCTCTCAGTAGTGACATGCACATGCATAGGTTTGGCTGACATGTACACATGTCTCTTTTTGGAGGGGGTGAAGGGACTATTCTTTTGACCCTTTGGGTTTTCTCCAACACATCCCAGCCTGGTAGATGTCAAGTCATAGAAAGGGGCACTGCTGCTCCTTGCCAATGAAGAAGGGACAGAGGGGTGAAGCAATTCACAAAACAAAATTTTGGCTGCTCTTGGCTCCCAGGGGAAGGCAAAGGGTGGTTTTGGCACCATCTCTGAGCACATCTTTTTTTCTTCATCCCTCTGAGCTAAGAGCAGCTGTTTCTTCCTCATCTGAATTACCTCCTCCACCAGTAAACATCGACAACATGCCCAAGAGTTTAAGATCTGCAGGAGTTGGCAGGAGGACACAGAGTATTACACTCTGCCTGCTCAGTGCAGGATCCATGGCAAGGCTATGGAGATTTAAAGCAGGCTTTTAATCACTAAGGGGGGAAGCAGACGGGCAGCCGTGGGCCACCCCAGGAAGCTGCACTGTGGGGCCGAGGTATCCCCACACCTCAGCCCCATGGCGCAGCTTCACCGCCCCTGAAAGGAGTGCTAAATTGGTGATCCTTTCACAAGTCACCGAAGGTGCGCCGCAAAAGGCTGTGGCGCACCTTCAGCGACTCTTCCACCTCAGAGTGTGTGGACGCTGTGGCAGGAGTCCTCCTCGGAGCACCGGCCATGCAGAGGGCCAGCTGCTCCGAGGACAACCTGGGGAAGGGGTTGGGGCGCCGAACCCCAAAACGGCTCAATTAGCCATCTGCTTCCGCCCTAAGTATCCAAAGCCTTCTAGTTAAATGGACCAAAGTATCAAAAGATTCCTTTTTCTGGACTACAGCTTTCAAAATTTCCCAGTTAGTCTTGCCATTGATTATGCAGATTGGGAGATTCTGAGAAGTAATGTTTCCAAGCTCTGTTCTCAATGCCTCTGTCTATGTTTCTTCTCCCACATCCATTTTTTTAAAAATAAATCTCAACTTCTTTCTATTCTATTCATTCCTAGTAGTTCAAAAAGGAGACCTCATTCTTTTGGTTTCAGCACCTACTTCTTCTTCCCCATTCTTCCCCATCACTTAGGATTCTACAGGTGACCAACAGTCACAAAGAGCACAAAGTTTCCAGAAGGAGAAGTTTCAGGAAGAAGAAGAGAGAATGGGCCCTAAGTTTCTTATTCTTGGACTGCTTTCAACCTGCCCACTTTGGGAGGGTAAGGAAAAGACTGAGGAGCACAACACAGTGTCCAGCTTGAATGGTGCTCCATCCAATTCCTTCCTGTCAGGGCTAGCCCATGTTATTTTATTTCTCAAAGTGATGGAAAGGTGTGATGGATGGCAGGCTGCCCCTATTCCATTTACAGAGGTAGACTGGAGTGGCAGTTGAAACTTTAGCATTGAAGAGGCAAAAATGTACTTCATCACATCTGAAGACAGCAGGCTATTTTAAGGCTGCACAGAATATACAGAATAGCATACACAACTCTGTTCTCCAATAAGGAGGAATAGCTGGAAATCCATGGAGATGGATAGGCTGCCATTGCTGTTCCCCATCACCTGCCATGTGGGGACCATAAAACCAAAAAAACTCTAGCCTTTGCCACTCTACAGGCTGCACCCCCCACAGTGCTCCCAAATACATCTGTCTCCACTACAGCCTTTTTCAAAATGATGAATGGAGATGATCCGGTCATTTTGAGAGGGACTTAGAGCATCTGGAAGGCTTTCACTGTGAGGCTGTTGATATTTTTTTGCATAGGGGGTCAGTTCTCTGCCATTTTTGGAATAAAAATGAACAAACCCATGCCATTTTTTTTAAAAAAAAATTGGAGGGAATTGAGGGGCTTTTGGGATTCAGGACCCACAAAAGTGAGGTCTAGGGGCCAGATGCAAACCATGGGCTGAACTTTGCCCACACTGGCCAACCACCTCTGACAATTGCCTTCTTGTGCCTGGTTTCCAGTACTCCTGCATTTAGTCCAGTTTCCAGTATTGACTGGGGTATTGGAGATGCTATTCTGTACCTTAGTGAGTGTTTTTTCTTATCTTCTCCTCCCTGCAGGTATTCAGTCTATGGCAGTTGACTATACGCTGGATGCCCCTGGTGTTGTGTCTGTGCAGGAGGGACTCTGTGTCATCATTCCCTGCAGATTTACTTACCCAGCTTCAGCTAAAGCCAGTGCTGCTGAATTGTATGGCTATTGGTATGTGAAAGGCAGCAAAAGCTACAGAGATCCTTCTGTGGCCACTAACGATGGAAGGAAAGAAGTAGCAGACTATGCTCGTGATCGGTTTCATCTTTCAGAGGGACTAAAAGAAGGGGATTGTTCCCTCATCATCAAGGAAGCCCAAGAAAGTGACCAAAGGACTTACTTCTTCAGGATGGAAAAGGGTGGGACAAAATATACATACATCACTGTCCAACCATCTCTAAGGGTAACAAGTGAGTGCCTGAAAAGGATTCTGGTATTATGATCCATCAGTCTTGGTGTTCTCACATGTCAGAATCAATTATCCCAAATGTATTAGTATTAGTATTAGTATTAGTATTAGTATTAGTATTATTTATTAGGAATGAGCCAGAGTGGTATAGTGGTTTGAGTATTGGACTATGACTCTGGAGACCAGGGTTTAAATTTCTACTTGGCCATGGAAACCCACTAGGTGACCTTGAGTAAGTCAGATTCTCTCCGCCTTATGACTCACTAGAAAATATGATAATGCTAGGAAAGGTAGAAGGCAATAGAAATAGAGGAAGACCACACATCAGATAGATAGACTCAATCAGGAAGGCTATAGGCCTGCATCTACAGGACCTAAGTAGAGCAGTGGAGGATATTTCTTGGAGATGTGTCATCCAGAGGGTCATGAGTCGGGGATGACTCTGGCAGTTAAAAACAACAGCAATCTGACATGAGAGCTTCCTTTCTTTCTACTGCCTCCCACCTTTCCTGACATTATTATCTTTTCTAATGAATCAGGCATTCTCATGATGTGGCCAAAATATGACAACCTCAGCTTAGTCATCTTGGCTTCCAGGCAGACTTCGGGCTTGGTCTGTTCTAGGACCTATTTGTCTTTTTTGGCCATCCACAGTATCCTCAGAACTTCTCCAATACCACATCTCAAATGTCTTATTTACTTGACTGTTATCTTATATTTGCTCCCCACATTAATGAATACTGAAGTTGGTGACTTCAATGTAAGAGGGTTCACTTTGAACTTTGAAGGAGCTATCCAAGGTGCTGGAGTGGAGTGCACAAAATAGGTTCAGCAAGTTAGACATTGGCCCCCTACAGCTGCCACTGCAAATGGGACTCAAGACCAGGCCAAAATAAAGCAGTGCAAATACAATTAAAGCATAAAATGAAGACTCCTAACAAATTAAATACACAGGTTAAGAGCCCACCAATAAAAAGAACAATACAGCCACCATATATTTTATAAAGCATTCCAGAACAAGCAAGGTTACTTGCCAAGGGTCTGAATGAAAATAAAGGGCTTTGCTTTTCAGCACAAAGATAATAGGGAGTGAGTCAGACTAGCCTTGCCTCTTTTGGAAAGGGCTTCTAGGACCTGGGGATAGGGTTGGAAAGAATATTATTAGAATATTATTATTTATTTGCTTGCCAGCAAAAAAGAAAAAGGTTTCTTAACAGATGGGAAAGTCAGGAGCAGTAATACAGATGTGAGACTTTTCCACAAGTTTTGTCTCATTTTCCCACATTCTGAAATGCTTTAAGATTTTTTTTCTGTTTAGAAACGCATGCTTTCTGTGTGAAAATTAGGGTTTTGTGCAAAAAAATTAATGCCAAAAACACAGTTTGCAGAATCAAACATGAGGGGTTTTATGCAACAACAAAAAAGTATTTTTTAAAAGCAAAGAACAGCATCCTGTTATGGAACTACTATAGCATAGCTCCCACTTATGCTACTGTGACCCACGCTTTTTTGTTGTTACAGTGGTTAGAATGCTTTCCTTGTGGTTAGAATGCTTCACAAAAACCAACCCTTCAACCTCTGTCCCCTTAAGCAATGCTTCCCCCAGCATGGCCATTTCCATATCACTTGAGGGGAGATGGGATCAGCAGAAATGTATCCAGCAATTTTCCTGTCATCTGTAGAGACCTACCAACAAGCTGAAGGGGTCTCTATGAATACATTTTGCAGTGTTTCCACCTACAGGAAAATAGCTTGATCTTTTCCCACTGATCCCATCCACTCTGCAACAACATGGAATCAGCTGTTGGGGGCAGGGGTTGCCATACATAAAATTTGGACTGGGGTGAAACTAGGAGATGAAACTACAGAGATGT